CTTAACTTAAAAACACAAAAACATGGGGTCATCTCTCAGCCAGAAGGTCTGGGGTTCAATCCCCAGCTCCTGCAGCCACATGTCGGATGTGTCCTTGGGCAAGACACTTAACCCCAAGTTGCTCCCACTGCTTCATCATCAGAGTGTGAATGTGTATGAATGGATGAGTTAATACTGATAGATTCTGTTTTTGTCTCTCCAGGTCGAGCTACTTTCTCTCGCTCTCTCTCTCAGCTGAGCACCATGAGCTCCTCCTCCCTCCTCCTCCTCCTCTCCTTCCTCCTGGGACTGTGTGGCGTTCAAGGAGACTCCGATTTTAGAATCTGTGCGTTCAACCTTCAACACTTTGGAGAATCAAAGTCCAAGAAAAGCAGCGTCATGCACACTCTCACCAGGGTGAGGCGCTCTGATATTTCATGAAACACTTAACACACAACAGAACCCTAAACCGGAAACATAATAACACAGGCATACACACAACAGACAACATCTGTAACATCTGCAGGACAAACGGCACACCTCAGTTTGACACAGACAGGAAGTGAAACATGTGACCTCATCCTGAATCTGTTCGTGCTTCAGATCATCTCCGCTGTGATGTCACTCTGCTTCAGGAAGTCAGAGACATTAAAGAGAAGGCTTTACCACAGCTGATGAACCGGCTCAACAGGTGAGACACACACACACACACACACACACACACACACACACACACACCTGTCCTTCAGCTCCTCACAGCTGTTTTCTGTCTCGTCTTCAGGTATGACCCTGACCACAAGTATCAAGCGGTGTCCAGTGAGAGACTCGGCAAGGCGGGCTCTTCATACCAGGAGCAGTACGTGTTCGTCTACAGGTGAGCTCTGCTCTGTGTGTCTGATCTGCACAGCTGTGTCCAGGTGTAATGTGTGTGTGTGTGTGTGTGTGCAGGGCTGGCTCGGTGACGCTCACAGGCAGTATCAGTACCCTGACGATCGGCCCGGAGACGTCGACGCGTTCTCCAGAGAACCTTTTGTCGTTCGGTTCAAAGCTCCAAGAACAGGTCAGACTCTCCCCCGAGGTCACAGCTGCTCTCATCCAATCAGGATCAAGTTTAATAACCTCTTCATGTTTCTCATCAGTCATCAAGGAGTTTGTGCTCATACCTCAGCACACGTCTCCAGAAAACACCACCAAGGAGCTGGACGCCCTGTACGACGTCCTGCAGGAGGTCAGGAGGATGTGGAAGACCGAGGTACACCAACATCACCTCACACGCCCAAAAATAGATTTACACACCTCTGACACATCAGTGTAACCATCTGTGTGTGTGTGTGTGTGTGTGTGTGTGTGTGTGTGTGTGTGTGTGTGTGTGTGTGTGTGTGTGTGTGTGTGTGTGAGCAGCATGTGATGCTTCTCGGGGACTTTAACGCTGACTGTGGTTACCTGGCTAAGAAGAACAGGAAGTTTGTGCGTCTGATCACAGATAAAAACCTCTTCTGGCTCATTAATGATAAAACTGACACCACAGTGAGAAAGTCCACGTCCTGCACCTACGACAGGTGAGCTGTCCCCATGTTGTTCATGAGGTGTGATCTCAGTGACTGCAGGTAAAGGATCAGTGTAACAGGCTGCCTATCAGAGGGAGTGACAGTAAGTTAGAGGTCCTCTGAACCTGCAGAGCTGCTGACCCCTGACCCTGAAAGAGATGACATCAACGCTGGAGACTCTCGGAGAGAAAAGTACGATGTGTAAACTTAGTTTTTTGTACTTTGTGTGTGCAGGATCGTCGTGCACGGGGAAACGTTTGCCAGAGCGATTATTCCTTTGTCAGCGAAACCGTTTAACTTCCAGACAGAGTACGGCCTCAGCGACGACCAGGTAACAGAGTCTGGACCTGACAGGTCAGGTCTATGAAGCTGAGTGAGCTGACTGTGTGTTTGTCTCTGCAGGCTCTGGAGGTCAGTGATCACTACCCCGTGGAGGTCCTGCTGAAGAACAACAAAATGTCCAACAGTGGCGGCATGAGGGAGAGCGTGCATCCGTTTGTGTCTGTGTTCCTGCTTGGCCATCTTGTCTTCAGCGTGTTAACACATTAAGTGTTACTCTCACCTGGATTCTTTTTCTCCTCACTCTGAGGACCATCATGGACTTAAAGACTCACCGACATGTGGAGTCAAAGAAATCCAGCAGCAGACTCTCCACAAGGGGGCGCTCCTTCAGTCAGGACATAAACAGGAGATATTCATGATGACATAATGATTTCATTTCTCTGAGTTAAGAGAGAGGACGACGTTCACATGAGCTCCGTCATGTTTCATATAAAGAAACCTGTTTTTACTTGAACTGTCAGACAGCTGATGTCATCACAGTGAGACCCGCTCACCAACGTTCACTCGTTCACACGTTCACCCCCCACCCCCCCTTTCCCTTTTTGGTAAAGAATCCACTGAGTCTTTTATAAGTCGGGTCAGCTGGCAGTTTGTTCCTCAGAATCAGATCAAACGCTCTCTTCACTTCCTGCTGAAGCACCAATCACCTGCCGGCTCGCCTGATGATGCAGTGGCATCATTCATCATGTCTCTGACTCCAGACCTCTCTGATTGGTCCTCTAGAAGATGCTCAGACACAGAGAGGACGTGGAGATACGCACACTGTAAATACTCTGATATTTATAAATATAATAAATCTGTCACTCACTCAGAGCGTGTCAGCTGTCTTTCTTTCTTCAGTCGTCGTTTTCACACGTGCACTCCTGAAAGTTTCTAGATAACTTCAGGAGGAATGATCCGGATATTCTCCTCACCTTTTCACACATGATGCACCTCACAGCGGGAAATTATCCCTGTCAGAGAGGAGGGGGGGGGGGGGGGGGGCGAGTCTCCTGAGGTAAGACATGATGTAAGAAGCATCAGAGTCCTCCATAGGACTCTATGATGAGAATATGTGTCTTTGTATCAATGCTACGTGTAGTTGCATTGATAGTTGCATGTAGAGAATCTCAGTGTGAACTAAAGAGTGGAGAAGAACATACTGGAGAACAGGAAACATGCAGCAGCAGGTTCATTAGAGCACGGAGATGGTAGAGGTGGCGTGCAGACAGTCTATTCTCCTGATTATATCCTGCTGCGTTCTCTCATCAGCTCACTCTGACTTTCTGCAGAATAAATACGAGGAGGCTGGAGGAGAAACTCCTGGTGAAGAGATAAACATTCAGATGTTTCAGGAAGTTTCTGCAGTTGTGAAAGAGCTTTAGTTCTGTTACTGTTTGGAGTGTTTCACCTCCTGTTAATGATTTGAGCCCCGCCCATGGTTACTCATCTCTCTGATCGGCTCTCCTGTTCCAACATGTTTCTCTCTCGCCTGTCTGTCTGCTCATAAATACCTCCCTCCTCATCAGCTGCACCATCATCTTTAAAAGTAAACAAACCTGAAACTTGATTTCACCACGGATCTGAGACTGAACCCTCAGTGTGAAGACAGGGTAACGATTAATCTGATGTTTGGATCGTCCCCACAACCACTTCCGTCCTCCTTCCTGCACTTCCTGCTCCGACCTCCACCTCAGCAGAGAGGTAGTGTGGACAACAGGAAGAGAGGAATACAAAGAAGAAATCCTTCCTGCATATTATCCATGTGCTCTTTAGTAAAGCGTCTCCAGATCACACTTACACAAACAATGATTGACCACTGAGCCACAGCCGCCCTGTTAATTGTTAAGTCAGAGAAGTGCCTCTCCCATAATGTCGTCTGGATTGTCATGAAAACAGTTTCCTCTGGCGCCCCCTTCAGGACACACCTGTAAGTGCTCTTTGTTGGATGTCTTCTCTGCATCATATTCAAAATAAAAACAGGAAACAAATTTCTGAAGAACTGCTTTATTTGGTAAATCTTCAACATCAGACGATATTCAAACAGACTGAGAGGCCGTCTACTCGCTCACCTGCAGGTAAACATCCAGGTGTCACAGCTAGAGGTGAGACCCAACAGGGGGCACAAAGGGGGGGCGGGGCTAAACGCTGCGTTCAGGGTCAGGTCAAAGCATCAGGTAAAGCGGCGGTGTACACAGGCACAGAACACAGAGAACATCTCTAATGTTGAATATTGATAATAATACGTTTGAGGTAATGCAGACAGACACGATGATGACCTCAACACACGGAATCCTTTAAATATGTTTCTCTACACGCTGACCGCCACCGAGTACTGACGAAGACGAGGCTGATGGGAAATCAAACATCAGATGTGGAGAAAATAAAAAAATCTATTAAAGATGTTCGAGGGACGAAGAGCTACAGCATTGTCTTCACGCCGTCCACTGATGTCGCTCGTCTTTGTACTGACGCACACGATCCACAGTGTGTGTTCAGGTTAATGTGTGTGTGTGTGTGTGGATGTCAGACAGAGTAAGGTGCAGCTATCACATATGCTTCCTGTGAGCAGACGCTGTATGATGTGTCAGTGTGTGTGTGTGTATCAGTGTGTGTGTGTGTATCAGTGTATGTGTGTGTGTATCAGTGTATGTGTGTGTGTGTATCAGTGTATGTGTGTGTGTGTATCAGTGTATGTGTGTGTGTGTATCAGTGTGTGTGTATCAGTGTGTGTGTATCAGTGTGTATCAGTGTGTGTGTGTGTGTATCAGTGTGTGTGTGTGTGTGTGTGTGTCAGTGTGTGTGTGTGTGTCAGTGTGTTTGTGTGTATGTGTGTATCAGTGTATGTGTGTGTATCAGTGTGTGTGTGTGTGTGTATCAGTGTGTGTGTGTGTCAGTGTGTTTGTGTGTGTGTGTGTCTGTGTGTGTGTGTGTGTGTGTCCTGTTTACTGTATACAGTCCATCACATGTATCTGCAGTGTGTCCATGTCTGGAGCCTGGTACTGGCACTTAGGACAACATAGATCCGGCAGGTCCTCTGCCCCCGCTGCCCCCGGGTCCCCCACAGGTAACAGACCCTGATTACGGTACGAGGGGGCAGGGGGCACCGTGTTGAAGGCTGCACCTGCAAACACACCTGAGGAGAGAGAGAAGAGGACGAGTCGATGAAGAGAGATGACATCAGAGACACCCAGTGTGTGTGTGTGTGTGTGTGTGTGTGTGTGTGTGTGTGTGTGTGTGATGTACCTTGTGGGGGGGAATGTGGGGCGCCCGTGTTGAGAAGTCTTCCTGGTGTCTCAGCTTCATTTGCTCCATTCGTGCTCTGAAGGACAGACAGACAAACACACAGGTCTCATTATAATGATTCAGACCTGACTTCATGTACACAGAGAGACCACGTCTGAATCACAGATAAACCTGAAGAGATCTGACGACACAGTATCCTCTGAGACTCGTCTTGTGTTGGACTTATTGTTTTACCGTGACGTGGCTTCCTGTTTGAACCGTTCAATCTCAGAGCGGGCCTGAGTCAGCTGTTCCTGTAGCTCCTCCTTCTTCTGGTTCAGCTTCTCTCTGGCTTCTCGCTCCGCTAAGAAGTCTGCTTTGTAGATGTCGGCCTGAGCAGGACAGACGGGGAAGGGGGAGGGGAGAGATATTCAACCTACAGCAGCCATCTTTAATTTCAGTGAATCTGGAAACACGTTTAGATGTGTCAGACTGATCAGTAAGAAAACGAAACATTAACAGTCAGATCTGATGATGATGTGTTGATGATGTCATCACATCATCAACACATCATCATCAGCTGATGTGAAATCAGCTGAGCCTAATGGGACAGAGTGAGGCCTTCAGTTGGGTTGTTTCTTGAATAAAGGGAGACTCAGCCAGAGTCTGGGGGGAAATGTTTGTTGGTGGCAGCTTGCTGTGAGGCTGTTTATTTAATCTAGTTGTTTTATTAGTTTTTGCTGTTTTGTGTTATTTCTGGTTAATAAATCAACCACCTTATTTTGCATCTATTTCTGCCTCCTGAGA